ATCACCATCACCATCACCATCATCATGATGATCATCATCAGCATCACCATCCCCATCACCATCAGCATCACCATCATCATAATCATCATCATCATCATCACCATCACCATCACCATGATCATCATCATCATCATCATCACCATCCCCATCCCCATCCCCATCCCCATCATCATCATCACCATCCCCATCACCATCCCCATCCCCATCCCCATCCCCATCCCCGCCCCCATCCCCGTCCCCATCCCCATCCCCATCAGCATCAGCATCAGCATCAGCATCAGCATCACCATCATCATAATCATCATCATCACCATCACCATCACCATCACCATCGTCATCATCAGCATCAACATCAGCATCACCATCACCATCATCATCATCGTCATCGTCATCATCACCATCACCATCACCATCATCATGATGATCATCATCAGCATCACCATCCCCATCACCATCAGCATCACCATCACCATCATCACCATCATCATAATCATCATCATCACCATCACCATGATCATCATCATCATCATCATCATCATCATCATCATCACCATCCCCATCCCCATCCCCATCCCCATCCCCATCCCCATCCCCATCACCATCATCATCATCACCATCCCCATCCCCATCCCCATCCCCAACCCCATCCCCATCCCCACCCCCATCCCCATCCCCATCCCCATCCCCATCCCCATCAGCATCAGCATCAGCATCACCATCATCATAATCATCATCATCACCATCACCATCACCATCGTCATCATCAGCATCAGCATCAGCATCAGCATCAGCATCACCATCATCATCATCATCGTCATCATCATCATCATCGGTGCTCCGAGAAGGGGGCTCGGCCACGGGGCCCCGCGGGGGCACTTCGCCCGCCGAGCCCCGAGCATCTGGAAGCGCGAGGGGCCCCGCGGGACGCCGCTGGCCGACCTCCCCCCCCCCCTTGGGAGGCCCGGGGACCACGCCTAAGCTGGGCACGTCCCTCCACAGGAGAAATATCCCAAAGCAGTCAAACATTTTTTTTTTTTTTTTTTTTTTTTTTTTTTTTTTTTTTTTTTTTTTTTTTTTTTTAAATAAAAAAATATATATAAAAATGTTATTACTTAAAAAATAAAGAATAACAAACCATTTTTGATGTTTTGACAACGTTTTTTATTTTTCGTCCACAATCCGCCTGTAGGGGGACACGCCCGACCTAAGGCCATGCCTGCTGCGTCGCGGCGATCCTGGTTACGGCCGGACACAGGACAGAAGAGCGTCCTCTGAGAACGTGGGGCCCTGCGCTGGCCAAGCTGAACAACACGCGAGGGTACCCTCCCCCAGGATGCACAAGAGCATCCAACAAGCACGAAGAACATCAAGGTAACCTCCCCGAACCGGCCTCGATCTCGTGCCTCGGTCCGAGTGCCGGCTCGCCTGCAAGGTTCCGACAGTCTGGGCGCGAACAAACCCGTGGAACACCTCTGGTTGATACCCCCTCAGGAGGCCCAACTGCCACGCCTGCTGCGTCGCGGTGATCATAGACAATGTCTGAGAGGAGGCACTTTTCCTCGGGGTCCAAGCGGGGCGTTTCGGCTGAGAGGTCCAAACGAACTGGGCGCGAAAGGGCCCGTGGAACACCGCTGGTCCACAGCTCCTTTGGGAGGCCCAACTGCCATGCCTGCTACGTCGCGGCGACCTTTGCGCTCTACGAGGTGACTCGTCCACACGGCCCAAAAGGGCGTTTCGCCTGAGAGGTCTCAGCAAACTGGGCGCCAACGGGCTCGTGGAACACTGCTGGTCCACAGCCCCTTCTCAAAGGCCTAATTGCCATACCTGCATCATCCTGGTGATCATGGCGCTCTGAGAGGGGGTTCCCTCACAAGGTCCACGCGGAGCGTCTCGTCTGAGAGGTCCCAACAAACCGGACGCAAATCTGCCCGACACCCCCTTGAGAAGCCTACATTCCGTGCCTGCGGTGATCATGGGGCTCTGAGAACAGAGGCTCGGACTAAATCTGAGTGTGAGCGAGCCTACATGTGAGTGAATCTGGGCGTGATTTGATCGGACTGTGGGCGAGTCGGAATACGAGTGAGACGGAATGTGAAATTGTCAAAATACGAGTGGATCTCGCCATGAGTGAATATGAATATAAGTAAGTCTGGATGTGTGAGAGCGCCCGGCTCTGAGTGAGTGTGAATGCGACTACGCACCGACACTATGATCTTGCAATAGTCTTAGAATCGGCGAGGGAGGGAGACGGGATGATACGTGGAGGAACGGGAGGAGGAAGAGCAGGAGGGGGAAGAGAAGGATGAAGAGAAGGGAGAACGGGAGGAGAGGGAGAGGAACGGGCACATAAAGATGGTGGTGATGATGATGATGATGATGATGATGATGATGAGGAGGAGAAGGAGGAGGAGGAGGCGGCGGCGGCGGAGCTCTGCAGGTCCACGGGTGTGTCGTGGGGCAATCGAGAGAAAACCCGAATCAACTCAAGGGCCTAGAGTGCGCTACCTACTCTGAACAATGCGATCGCACGGGGGGGGGCTCAACTGCGCCATCGGCTGACCCGGAGCGGAGATATCCCCCAGGCCGGGCCCGCACGGCCCTCGACAACATCGGACAGCCCCTGACTCTGGACAGCAGGCGGAGGACAGAGTCAGGGTTCAAAAAGACAGCGCGGCAACCCGAACAGCACAGACACTTCAGGGCTCCCAGGGCGGCGAGCAGGAGGCGCAGCGCGGGCCTCCGCGCCGCCGATCCGTCGGGGCCGAGACGCCGCCGCCAGGCTCCGAGGACGCCCCGCCACCGCTCGGGCGGCCGCTCCCCGCGCGCTCCTCGGCTCCGTGTGGGCTCGCTTCCTCGCAAGAGAGGAGCCAGAATTTCACGGGCGAACGCCGGTATAACATTTTTTTTTCGCCGTCGGGGACACCTGCCCCAGATCGGCTGGAAAGTTTATACCCTTACGGTGGCAACGTAGGGGTACAAACTTTCCAGCCGCCCAGGGGCAGGTGTCCCCGACGGCGGAAAGTTTATTTTATACCGTTCTTCGCTCGCTGAAGAATGCTCCTCGTCCCCGCCGAGAAAAAAGTGCACACGTCCGAACGAGGCCCAGACGCCGGCCTCTGACCGCCAGGTCGGCCCCGCCTGGGGGAAGATCCTGGCGGCGCGCAAGAGGGGGGTTTAGGGGGGAGGGGGCAAGGCTGCTCAGAAGCAGGCTGCTTCTGAGGGGGCGCGGGCCTTCCGCCCACAGACGAGACCCGCGCCTTCTGAGAAGCAGTGGTACTTCCTATGAAGCCTCCCCCCCCCCCCCCCTCCTACCCCCCTTCTGCGCGCCGCCGAAGGTCCCCGCTCGGCCTGGCAGCGGAGATGGCTCGAGGCTGGCCTGGCGGCCTGGCGCAGGCCAGGCTGGTGGCGGCCCCTCGGGCCCGAGAGGGCCCGCCCAGGCGTCACCGCCGCCGCCGCAGAGAACGGGCACGGCGAGGTCGATGCCCACAGGCAGGCGCGGCGCGCCTCGACGACCGCCGTCCGCGGGAGTGGCGGAGCATTTTTTGTTTTTTTTGTTTTTTTTGTTTTTTTTGTTTTTTTTTCTTTCTCCTTCTTTTTCTTTTTTTTTTGAGCCGGCGGCGAGGCAAAGGAAGTCTGCGCCAGCGGAAAGGCCTGAACGGGGGTGCCGTTAGGGCGAGTTGTGCCACCATGCGGGAGGGGGAGTCGGAGCAGTGATACAGTCAAGAGCTCTGCTTCGCGTGTCGCGGCGGCGGCCCCGGCGACACGCTGTGCCCTGCAAGCGGATAGCATACCGCTCCGCTCCCCGGGGGTGTCACGCCGAAGCGTGGTGGGCCAAAACTGGCGGAGCGACACGCTGAGCCAGTTCCTGACCGTAATGTGCCCTGCAGCCCTGACAGGTGGATCGGCACGTCGCCGCAGCGGCCACTGGCATCGACGTTTGCCGAGCAGTTATGCGTGTGATGCCGCCAGGTGGAGAACACAGGGCGCGTCAAGAAGGTGAAATAGCAGAGGCAGAGGGAGCGAGAGAGAGAGAGAGAGAGAGAGAGAGAGAGAGAGAGAAAAAGAAGACGCGCACCACGACGGTCATCTTAATCCCCTCGTCAACCTTGAAAACACCCCTTCGAGGTCACCCCACGAGCTTGGCCATCTCCGTGCTAAAATTGAGGGTCTGACAACAATAACCCAAACATAACGAAGTACATCCATCGCGTTGTTGCTTCGTAATCGTGCCAGCTGGTCGCCAAACTCGCGCAATTCCTGTGTCAACCATTTAATTCAACAAAGTCAATTGTCGCAAAGCTAGAGAGGTGCGGGAACACACAATACCAGAAAGGAGAGCTACCCTTGCTGCGGCTCGAGTCTTGCACCATCCTGTCCAGCCATGCTGCGGCTTGAATCTTTCTCCATCGTGTCTAGCCCCTCTTGCGTATCGCAAGCCACGTGTACCTTAACCAAATGACCAGAACAAACACCGCTGGAGAAGACGGGGGTGGTGGCACAGGGATGGCGAGTGCGCCCTGCTGGTTAGCAAAGGTCTGCTCCGAACTTGGTTCCCTACAGCTCGGAGCAGGAACTGGAGCACTGGTAAAACACACTTGGTGGCACGATTCAAGTCGTTACGAAATCCGATTCCCCGAGCATCGGTACGATATCGGTGACACTTTGGCGCAATAGCAGTGTGTTGAAGGCAACGCCGCATAACAATTTGTAGCCCAAACTGATTGCCGCAACTGACTCTGCTAAGACCATGATGTTCTGGCTCTGATGTCGCTCGGATGATCCGAATCTATTGACCAGCAGTTAGCGACATCTGGCCGCACGTTGCGACCATAGCCGACAAACACAAAGGTACTTCCCTGCGCTGCGGGAGGAACGCTGCTATAATGACTTGAGCCACGAGCAAGCAATGCGATCTTGCGTCAACCATGGTCATGGAGGAGGAGGGGACGGGGAGCATGATGAGGGGGAGGGAACGATCGAGAACAAGAGCATGGCAGAGCCTGGCACGTTTCTGCCGTCTTCACGACAGAGAACTTGTTTCGCGTGCCCTCGTCGAAGAACCTACTGACGACGCTCCAGCCTTGGTTGAAGAACCAAGGCGCTCTGACAATCAGTACGCGCTTGACCATCTCGGGGAAATAGTCTTCCGCGAGGCGAACAATCTGCTTGTACTTCAGAGCAGCAGCTGGCGAAAGGTGCTTGAACGACAGACCGCTGCAATCGACCACCACCGTCATGTACAACGCGGGGCGTCCCTGCCGCTGCGATAGCTCTTCTAACGCTTGCACTATTCTGGTCAGGGTAAAGACCTCGTGCCTGTACAAGAACTCCATTGGAACTTCAAGCAGAGATCCTATGTCTGAAGCACCTGCGCGATTCCAGTAGATGGCGTCGCCCTCCCTGTCGCAACCCATCAAACCTGTTGGTGGCCAATACGACGAGAACTGCTGATGCAAGCTGTCGTCTATTGTCCCGTCTCGGAAACCACTCTCCAACAATGTGCGCTCGCGCCACTCCATTGACATCCGCAACCGTGCCTTGAGCACGGTCCATGACCTTCCCGACCCAAGATGGTCCCGACACGCCCCGAGGGCCAACCCGAGAGACCGCAAGATGTCCCACGAGGCCTCTGATCTACGACTCAGGCACGTTGGTGGGAAGGGCCGAAGGCCACTAGATCTTGTACGCCGACGCCGCTAGATCCTGTTTATCGACTCCTCCTTCTCCTCGTCCTCCTTCTCCTCCCTCTCATCCTTCTTTCTCTTCCTTACACTGATGTTCCCCCAAAGGGTTCCACAACGGCCGGGGGAACACATGGTCTATGAGCCAGGCCAGACTTTGGCCCAACGATTGACCGCAAGGGCGCTTCCAAACGGCAGGGGGGGCGGCGGTGGTTCGCCGTAGGCGCCTTCGATCTTGTACATCGAGGCCGCCGCCTCAGAGGAAGAACAACAATCCTAAAACTAAACTTTCGACGGTCCGCGCGGACTTCTTGGATTTGCGCTGGGCACCCCTCCCTGGCGCGCGGAGCGCGCCAAGGGCGGCGCCTCCGTGGCGCCGGAGGCGCGGGGCCAAGAAACCCGCGCGGAGCGCCAACAATTTATGTATGTGTATGGCGTTTTTTTCTTCTTCCACGCCTCCAGATCGCCCTTGCGCGCCCGCAGATACCGCAGCATCGTGACGGGGTCCTTGGGGCCCGCCTCGCCCGAGAGCCGGCGGCGCAGCTCGTGGCAGGCGCCCCGCTCCTGCTCCTGACCTGGGCGCCCCCAGAGCCAACCCCAGGCAAGAGGGGCCCCGGGCGCCTGGCCGCTCACCCCTTCGCCGAGCCCCGGAGGGGGGCCCAGCCATCCGCCACCTCTAACCATCCTCCTCCCGCCTCCTCCTCCATCCTCCTCCTCCATCCTCCTCTTCCATCCTCCTCCTCCATCCTCCTCATCCTCCTCCTCCCCCTTAATCTCCTCCTCCTCCTCCCTCCTCCTCCTCCTCCTCCTCCTCGTCCTCCTCCGTCCTCCTCCTCCTCCTCCTCCCTCCTCCTCCTCCTCCTCATCCTCCTCCTCCTCCTCCACCACCTCCTCCCCTCCTCCTCCGTCTCCTCCTCCTCCTCCTCCTCCTCCTCCTCCTCCTCCTCCCCCTTCTCCTCCTCCTCCTCCTCCTCCTCCTCCTCCTCCTCCTCCTCCTCCCTCCTCCTCCTCCTCCTCCTCCTCCTCCTCCCCCCTCCTCCTCCTCCTCCTCCCCCTCCTCCTCCTCCTCCTCCTCCTCCTCCTCCTCCTCCTCCTTCTCCTCCTCCTCCTCCTCCTCGGAGGCACGCCCGCGCGACCCCAGGCAGGAAGGACCCGTGGTGCGCGGCTCGCCGCCCGCTGCGTGCGAGGCGGCAGCAGCGGCCTGCGTGCTTGGGTTTGGCCGCGCGCGCCCACGGACGGCCGCGGAAGGCCGAGGAGGAGGGAGGAGGAGGAGGAGAGGAGGAGGAGGAGGGGAGGAGGAGGAGGGGGAGGAGGAGGAGGAGGGGGAGGAGGAGGAGGAGGAGGAGGAGGAGGAGGAGGAGGAGGAGGAGAGGCCACTCTGGCGAAGTGGGCTGAAGCATGCAGCAGGCAGGCGTTCCCTTGCCCCAGGTCGGGCGTGTCCTTCTACAGTTGAGTTGAGTTGTTGTTTATCTATGTTTGAGTTGTTGTTGCTTATTTTGTATGTTTCATCCAGAATCCGCCTGTAGAAGGACACGCCCGACCTGGGGCAAGGCAACGCCTGCCTGCTGCATGCTTCAGCCCACTTCGCCAGAGTGGCCTCTCCTCCTCCTCCTCCTCCCTCCCTCCCTCCCTCCCTCCCTCCCTCCCTCCCTCCTCCCCTCCCTCCTCCCTCCTCCTCCTCCTCCTCCTCCTCCTCCTCCTCTTTCCCAGGGCCAGCCTGGCATGCTGAGTCTCCGTCCGACGGCCCTCGGGCCCCTGGACAAGCTCGCGAGGGTTTTCTCCTGACGCTGGACACTGGGCCAACGCCGCGAGAAGATATATGGGCTTGCACCACGTGGTTTGCACCACACAATTTGCACCCTGTATACTTTGCACCACGTAGATTTCACCGCATAGCTTGCGACGATGTGGGCTTGCACCATGTAACTTGAACACCATAGCTTCCACCACTTACTTTGCTCCACATAGCTTGCACCGCGTAACTTGCGACGATGTGGGTTTGTGAGGAAGTATCAAAAGAAACCGCGCCATAATCAGGCCAAACCAAGCAAATTGTGAGGACGTCTCAAGCGAAACCGCGCCGAAAGAAAACCAAACCAGGCAAATTGAGAGGACGTCTCAAACGAAACAGCGCCGACACCAAAACAAATCAAGCAAACATTGAGAGGACGTCTCAAGCGAAACTGGCCCCAAACCATTGGCCAAACCAAGCACATGTTGAGGATGTCTCAGGCGGTGCGCCTGGTTCCAAAACCAGGGGCCAAACCAGAGAAACTCTCAGGACGTCTGAAGCGACACGAAAGATTTTGAATGTCCTTGCCTTTGAACAATGTCCCCAAACAGAGCTTGCCTCTGTCGTGGGACTAGCGGATTCAAATGGTTAGGTGAAGTGTGTCACCGATTTCCGCGGCCCGCCCGGGTGCCCGGGTGCCCGGGTGCCCAGGTGCCCGGGTTTAGCCCTACAGCCCTATAGCCTCATAGCCCTATAGCCTCATAGCCCACTAGTCCAACAGCCCTATAGCTCTATAGCCTTATAGCCGTATAGCCCTATCTCCCTAGAGCCCTATAGCTCTAGAGCCCTATAGCCCTATAACCCAATAGCCTTATAGCCCTATAGCCGTATAGCCCCATAACCCCATAGTCCTACAGCCCTACAGCCCTACAGCCCAATAGCCCTACAGCCCTATATCCCTGTAGCCCTATAGCCTTATAGCCCTATAGGCCTATAGCCCTATATTCCCATAGCCATATAGCTCTATATGCCTATATCCCTATCGCCCCAGAGCCCTATATGCCTATAGCCCTATGGTCCTGTAACCCTATAGGTCCATAGCCTTATAGACTCATAGCCCTATGGGCCCATGGCCTTTTTACCCCATAGTCCCATAGCCCTATGGCCCAATAGCCCTATAGTTTCATAGCTCTACCGCCCCATAGCCCCATCGCCCTATAGCCCTAAAAAGACTTTGCTTTTTGTTCGGGCTCGTGTGCGCCCCCCACTTTTAGGGCCTCCCCGCGCCTTCTCCAGGAGGAGGAGGAGGAGGATGAGGGAGAGGGGGAGGAGGGGAAGGGGAAAGGGGAGGAGGGATAATGCATGTTCTTGGGGCGCACCAGCATGCATTCGTCTTGCGAGTGTTCCTGGGGCAGCGGTGTTGCGTTGGGAGAAATATTCCCGATGCTGTCGTTCGAGGCCTCCCAGATGGGGTCGACGGATCGCGCCGCATCGCCAATGCATCGGCGATGCATCAGCGATGAATTGGCGACGTCGGCGATGCATCGGCGCCATCTGCGTGTAGAAATTCTGGCTCCACGTCGAGCCGCATCGCCGTTGCATCGGCGATGCGGCGCACTCCTCCGACCCCATCTGCTCGGGCCCCATCTGGGAGGCCTGCAGTAGCGGCCTCACGAGGCCGAGAACTTTGAACACAAGGCAGCCGCCACGACTCTCTGCGACGCCCAGATCCTCGGGGACGAGGTCGGCCTGGCCAGTGGCCCGCCCCGCAAGCCCGACCGACAGATCATGAGGGGCAACGATAGGGGGGACCAGCTCAGGGGGGGATGGATCGAGCAGGGATCGGTGATACAATCTATAGGGGCCCGACCACAAAAGACCTTCCGCAAGAAACCCAACCCTGACACCCCAGGGCGTTCCTTGATTTTTGGCGTGGGAACGGCACGCTTTCAATAGCAAAACCGTCGAAACTCAAGAAACCCAGGGGACCCTGGAGGGAAGCAGGGGGCGTTTCTTGGCATGGGCTTTCACCGCACGTCGCCGACTGGATCGACGACATGACCCCGACTGCTGCAAATCCGCATGCTGCTATGGGCCGGGTGGGCCATCGCCCCCGTGTCGGCGATCCATGTGCGATGGGGCGTCGATATGCGTCCCCCCCTCGAGCCTGTCTCCCCCTAACCTTTCCCATGAGATCAGGGCCTCTCTAGAGGCCTCCTAGATGGGGTCGGAATAGATGGGGTCGGAGGATCGCGCCGCATCGGCGATGCATCGGCGATGCATCGGCGATGCATCGGCGATGCACCGGCGATGCACCGGCGATGCACATCGAGCCACAACGGCGATGCATCGGCGATCCTCCGACCCCATCTGCTCCGACCCCATCTGGGAGGCCTAGACTCTCCCGAGCTCGTGGCACGCCAGCTGCGCGTCCCACCAGTCGGGCACCTTGGGGGCTCTGGCAGGGAACCGGCGCAGGTCGGGGAGCCGGCCCGTCGGCTCCTTTGGGGACGACTCTCGCTACGCCGGCTCCAGTCCAACCACCTGCCCTCCTCCTCCTCCTCCTCTTCTTCGTCTTCTTCTTCTTCGAGGAGGAGGAGGAGGAGGGGGAGGAGGAGGGGGAGGAGGAGGAGGAGGGAGGAGGAGGAGGGATGGAGACTGTCCTCCAGCCGCAGGCCGCAGAACTTGGGGTGCTGGCCGTTCGCCCCCGCCGCGAGGCGTAGGGGGCCTGGCCCCAGATGCGCGGCGGGGACGTCCTCCCGGTCGGCCTCTCCTCGGATGGGCGACGAGAAGAAGCGGTCCTGGATTTACAACCGGGGCGCTGACCTAAGGAGCCCTAAATAAGGAACGAGGCCCCTTTCTCCAGAAATGAAAACTTCGACTTCCCATCGAAAACCTGAGGACAACCTGAGGCAAAATGTGAAACAATTAAGGAACACGGAGCCCCTCCCCAACGAAAAGAGTTCCTTCTTCAGCGCCATGACTGCATATGGCTCCCATCGTACTGAAGGACCACATCCCAGAAATCATTTCGAGCACCCAGAAAAGTGTCGAAACGCTCTCGAAACAGTGTCGAAACAATGTCGGACGAGTGTCTCCCAGGGCCCGACACGTGACAACCCTCGAGTTTTGGTACTTTTCTGGTGTTCGAAATTCTTTCTGGTGAACAAGGTTAAAATAAATTGGAACATCATAACCCGCGGAAGAGGAGGAGGAGGAGGAGGAGGATGAGGAGGAGGAGGAGGAGGAGGAGGAGGAGGAGGAGGAGGATGAGGAGGAGGAGGAGGAAGGGGAGGAGGAGGAGGAGGAGGAGGAGGAGGAGGAGTAGGAGGAAAAGGAGGAGGAGGAGGAGGAGAGGAGGAGAGGAGGAGAGGAGGAGGGAGGAGGAGGGAGGGGAGGAGGAGGAGGAGGAGGAGGAGGGGAGGGGAGGAGGAGGAGGAGGAGGAGGGGAGGGGGAGGAGAGGAGGAGGAGGAGAGGAGGAGGAGGAGGAGGGAGGAGGAGGAGGAGAGGAGGAGGAGGAGGAGGAGGGGGGAGGAGGAGGAGGAGGAGAGAGGAGGAGGGGAGGAGGAGGAGGAGGAGGAGGAGGCGGAGCAGGAGGGCAGGTTGCCAAAACCCTTCGGAGGAACCCTCCCTTTGGGCCCGGGCCGGGGCCGGGGCCGGGGACCGGGGGGGCCGGAGCTCGGGCTGGGCCCGCGGCCCAGGCCGCGACCGGAGCCGGGGGCCGGGGCTTCCAGGGCGTACGAGCCACCAGCGGCAACAGATCGCCTGCTCGCCATCGCTCGGACGTCCATTCCCTGTATGTTTTTTCCGGCTTCGTGCGTGGTGATTTCGCCAAATGCTCAAGGATGCTCCTCGATGGTCCTCGCCGAGGAAAAAACGCGCACGTCCGAGCGATGCCGAGGGGGGCACGAGCCCATCGCCCCTCCCCGGTTCGAGCCGGGGGGGGTCCAGCAGATCTCCCCCCCCCCCGGTTCGAACAGGAGAGGACGGGGGGCGAGGCCCTCCCCGCCCGAAACTCGATCCGATGTTGAGCTTTGTTGGAGCTTTGTGTGAGCTGTGTCTGAGCTTTGCTTGAGATTTGTTTGAGATTTGTTGGAGCTTTGTTTGAGGTTAGTTTGAGCTTCGTTTGCGCTTTGCTTGATCCTTGTTTCAGCTTTGGTTGAGATTTGTTGAAGTCGTGTATGAGCTTTGTTTGAGCTGTTTTGAACTCTGTTTCAGCTTTGGTAGATCCTCGTTTGGGCTTTGTTTCAGCTTTATTCGCGCTTTGTGTGGGCCTTGTTTGAGCTTTGTCTGAGCTGTGTTTGAGCTTTGCTTGAGCTTTGCTGGAGCTTTGCTGGAGCGCATTTTGAGCTTTGCTTGACCTTTGTTTGAACTTTCGACGACGACGACGGCGACAACGGATACGGCGACGGCGACGGCGACGTGCGGGAAACGAGCTGCAACCTTCATCACAACCACATGGGAAGCCGTTCGGGCGGGAGGAACATTGAATGTACTATTCACTCAGTGATGGGATGTTCAGTCGGGCGAGCTGGCGGGACATTAAATGCAGACTTCACTCTGTGATGGGACAAGGTTGGGGGAACATATATCACAACCACCGAAGACACCAGTCGGGCGGGCGGGACATTGCATGAAACCTTCACTCAGTGATGGGGCGTGATCATCATCATCACCATCATCACCAACAGCGCCAGCACCAGCACCACCACCAACATCAGCATCAGCATCAACATCATCATCAACATCATCATCATCATCACCATTGTCATCGTCATCCTCATCACCATCATCATCACCACCATCACCATCATCATGATCACCAGCACCTCCGTCATCAGCACCACCATCATCAACATCATCATTACCACCACCATGACCACCACAAACATCGCCATCATTACCATCGCTATCATCATCATCATCATCATCATCATCATCATTACCATCGCCATCACCGTCACCATCACCATCACCGTCACCATTACCATCACCGCCACCATCACCATCATCACCATCATCATGCGTCACCATCATTATCATTAACATCATCATCATATCCACCATCACCATCACCATCACATCTATCATCCTCATCACCGTCATCGCCGTCACCACCAACATACGTAATCATTATCATCTTCATCCTCATCACCGTCATCACCACCACCATCATCATGATCACCACTATCACCATCACCACCACCATCACCATCACCACCACCATGACCACCACCACTATCACCACCATCCATCCATCATCATCATCATTATCATCATCCTCGTCCTCATCATCGCCTTAACCATCACCATTACCGCCGCTCTCACCATCACCACAAGTATTGTCATCATCACCATCATCATTGCCATCATCATCATCATCACCATAACCATCATCATCATCATCATGACCATCATCATCGTCACCACCATCATCATCACCAACACCATAATCACCATCATAACGTCGTCATCATCACCATCGTCATCATCATCGCCATCACCATCATCACCAGCATCATCATCATTATCATCGTATTCACCATCATCACCATAATCATCATCATCATCATCATCATCATATTTCTCATACTCACCAACATCATCATTTCCAACAGTAGCAGCACCAGCAGCATCAGCATCAGCATCAGCATCAGCACCATTCTCATCATCACTACCATCAGCATCATCATCATCACTATCATCACCATCATTATCATCATCATCATCGTCATCACCATCATCACTGTCGCCATAACCATCACCATCACCATCACCATCACCATCACCACCACCACCATTACCATCACCATCACCATCACCATCACCATCACCATCACCATCACCATCACCATCATCATCATCATCATCATCATCATCATCATCATCATCATCATCATCATCATCATCATCGACTGAAACCCAGGACGGGCTCAGAGGCCCCCTGTAGGTGCCCAGGGGGGAGGCCAGGCACCTGTGCGAGAAGGGATCGCTGGTGCAGCCAACTCTGCCTCGCCGCCGACGAAGAAAGTGCGAGGAGGGCGACGCCATGCGCCACCATTCGAAATGCGCCCCGCTTGCCTCACTTGTCTCACTAGCCGTGCTTGCTCGCGCGGGCTTCAGCTTGGTTGGAGCTTTGTTGGGGCTTTGCTGGACATTTGTTTGAGCTTTGTTTGGGCTTTGATTGAGCACTGGTTGAGCTTTGCTTGAGCTTTAGCTGCCCTCCCCTTCGGGTCCAACCACGGGGGGTGGAGTTGCACCCCCCCCTCCCTCAGTTCGGGCTCTGGGATTCTCACAGATTGGCCTGGCTTGAAACATGATGCAGAAAGATGTAGTCTAGAGCTCTGGTCGTGATTTTCTTGCGATGTTTTGTTAACGTCGGATCAGAGGGACGATCGGGAACTTTTGGATAGCGTGTCGCCTCGGCGGCCCCGGCGACACGCTATCCCTTGACATCGGATAGCGTACCGCTCCGCTCCGCGGGGCGGGAGGTTGGGAAAACTCGAGACGTGGACGCTTGGGGATCGGGAAATGGATAGCGTGTCGCGCCGAAGCGTGGTGGGCCAGAACCATCGGAGCGACACGCTATCCAAAAGTTCGCGACCGTACGATACCAGGAGCGCGGTGCAATTCGCAGTCCACGGCGTAGTCTGCACAAGGGCTGGGCACCTAAGCGACGCGTGCAGGCCACATCAAAAAACGAAGCTGCAAAGCCTCTGAGAAAGCCAGCGCTCCATCCATCGGGTCGACGCCCCAAGGCACGAAGGCAAGAGCGGACCCGCGGGTGGAGGAAACAGAGGCCGAGGCACGCGAGCAGACATCCAGTCCTGAACTCTTGGAGCGCGTGTCGCCCCTGCGGCCCAAGGCGACACGCTACCCCTTGACAGCGGATCGCGTGCCGCTCGCCTCCGCGGGGCGCGAGGCTGGGAAGAACTCGAGACGCTGCCGCTTGGGGTCCACCGAACGGATAGCGTGTCGTACAGTGGAGGCCAGTCCACAGGACACCTGCCACAAGAAATCAAACCCTGAGACCCCAGGACGTCCATTGATGTTTGGTGTGGGATCGTCACGCTTTCCATGGCAAAACCATCGAAGCACAAGAAATTCAGGGCACCCTGGAGGCAAGCAGGGTGTCTCTTGGCATGGGCCCCCACTGTAGCGTGTCGTATCGCAGCGTGGTGGGCCATAATGGGCGGAGCGACAAGCTGAGCCAAAACTCCCAACTGTAGCGACCTTACGCGGTGGCCCGCGCGGGCCGCCACCGCGTAGCCGCCGCGCGGAGAAGACGCCTGCTTGCGCGGCCTCGCGCGCGACTGTGCGTCGCAGGCGGCCTCGTTTTCTCTCGTCGCTCCGGTGGGGAGGAGGAGGAGGAGGAGGAGGAGGAGGAGGAGGAGGAGGAGGAGGAGGAGGAGGAGGAGGAGGAGGGAGGAGGAGGAGGAGGAGGAGGAGGAGGAGGAGGAGGAGGAGGGAGGAGGAGGAGGAGGAGGAGGAGCAGCGGGGGAGGGTCACTCGCGGCAGCGGTGGCTCTCCCTGGCGCGCTTGGGCCTGTCCCCGGGCCTCCTGGAAGGTACTCGTCGCCACGGCCGCCTCCGCCTCGAAAGACCGGGCCGAGCGGACACCCTGGGAGGGCTCCGAGCGGACCGGCCTCTCGAGCGGGAGTTGGGCCGGGCCCTCCTCCGAACAGCACGCCCTCGTTCGGAAGCTGGGCGAGGGCTGGTAACTCCGTGGCCGCCAAAGCGGTCCTCCTGGAAGAGAAACACACGTTCCCCAAA